TATATATATATATATACACACACACACACACACACACACGCACACACGCACGCGCGCACACGCATACACACACACGTCAAAATATTACTTCGGCCATTATTTTAAGGTCACGATGTTTTCATCATCAGCGTAGTCATCACACAGCACCGTCCTACTGGATACAGCCATTTGCTTATTCTCAGCCAAAACCATCTACTACTTGACAAGCTCAGTATAAGATAAACATGCTGATGTTCTAACATTCACGTCTGTTTAAACTGTTTCATTGGAAATTGTGAGATTTTATTTATTTATTTTAAACAAAGCTGTTCAAATTGGGCAGAAACTTTTTCCTGAGCGGGATTGTGAGTATTAATGAGCTGAATGTTTTGGGGAGTTTTATAACAGTTCCTCTGAGGTTGTATTTGTTGTCGGAATTGCATTGTAGGTCGAATCATATGCTCTTGTGGGCCCTCCATTGTTTAATGTCATTCATCTTGCAGCCAAAAAGTGATAGTGGATACATAGACTCGACTCATGCTTAGCTGGCCTTCATTCCCATTTAAGTTACACCACATTGTGCCTGATACTTTTAAGAGATGTCCTGAATAATTGCAAAACATTGACCGAAAAACTCTATGACTGCATCATATCAGAACAAAATGGTTGCACGCACAATAAGAGAAATGAGGTCTGCACGAATAAAACTCCCCTGATAGTAGTTTGTTCTGTGTGCCAGTGTTTTACATTCGTCGCACAGCATCTATATAGCAAACCATTTATAGTGTAAACAACGAGGAAGACTCCTTCCCCTGCCAACCACAGTGGAGAACCAAGTCCAGCACATGGAGAAAAAGTAACTTCTGGTTATGACAATACTTTAATGAGTGCCTTAAAAATCTTAACTCAAGCCATACTTATCCAGTACAAAAAAAGTCCTATTAGTTCATGGGGGGACAAATAAAATGAGGGGAAAGCATCATTCATGAGTAGCTAGCAATTCACTTGACAGGATGATGTTGAAAGGCATTAAGGATGGAAAACTTTATACGATCATAAACAGGACTTGTTCTTGAGGGAAGATTCTCTCAGTACAACGGGGAATAAACTTTATTCGGCGTCGTGTCTGAGTGACACAATCCAATTACGTCACTGTAAGGTACAAGGATTATAAATACAATCACCAATAATAATAATCACCCCTTGTTGATTCTGCTAACCTAGTGAAGGAATCCATGTTGTCATCTTTCTATAATAATGGCCTAGTTTTTTTTTCCCCAGAAAACACAAAAACAATATATTTCTAAATATCCATCCATTTGTGCCATATCATGTGGAAATTATATTTTATATTTATATATATATATATATATATATACACAATATTGCGATATTGCCATTATTGTTACATCCCTACTGGTTGCCTTTTATTTCACATTCCATTCATGACTAAAAATGTGATTTGTACACCAGAATGAAGTAATGTTATTTTTTTTCCCAACAGATCAGGCAAAGTTCACTATCATCATTCTAGAGCAAATAATCTTCATGATCAAAACTCCTCCAGTAAGGCTAACACTATCTCCATGAGAGGGATTCCAGAATCTACAACACCTAGTCCTTTGCTGCACACTTCTCCTCGAGTGTCCTCATCATCGAGGGACAGTCATCCCCCAAAGGTTCCTCCTCGACCACCCAGGAGAGAAAGTCCGAGCCCTAACCGCAAGGCCAATACCTCTTGCACTGAGACAAGACATTCCAAAGGTCCTACAAGTGGACATGGTCTCGTGCCTGAGAAACGAAACGAACATTGCATCAGCAATTCTCTCATCAGTTCATCAACCCGGCATCATGGTTCAGATCAGCACAAAACCAAAGACAGAGAAAAACAATGTCAGAAACGATTTGATACCACAGACAAGAAGTATGGAACTAGTTCAGCTCCTCGAAGGGACCGATATTCTGTTGAGAAAGATAGACCTCATAAATCCGACAAAGACACCGGAAGAAGATATGAATCCAGGATATGTAAAACCAGAGACAACAAAAATGTCGATGGATATCACAGATCAGAGAGGAGTAAAAGTCCTCCATTCGAAAAATCACATGCTATAGGTTCCTCAGATGCCTATAAAGCGAGAACTGGAAAATGGTTGCACGCACAATAAGAGAAATGAGGTCTGCACGAATAAAACTCCCCTGATAGTAGTTTGTTCTGTGTGCCAGTGTTTTACATTCGTCGCACAGCATCTATATAGCAAACCATTTATAGTGTAAACAACGAGGAAGACTCCTTCCCCTGCCAACCACAGTGGAGAACCAAGTCCAGCACATGGAGAAAAAGTAACTTCTGGTTATGACAATACTTTAATGAGTGCCTTAAAAATCTTAACTCAAGCCATACTTATCCAGTACAAAAAAAGTCCTATTAGTTCATGGGGGGACAAATAAAATGAGGGGAAAGCATCATTCATGAGTAGCTAGCAATTCACTTGACAGGATGATGTTGAAAGGCATTAAGTGTTCTAAAAATCAGTGGAAAATGTTTGCTTGTTTCCAGGCTTGATACTTCGGGACAAATGGGAGATTCGAGTACGTTGAACGTGCTAAGCATACGCAGTGTTGCAGTTCAACAGTGTGGCTCTTGCCAACGACTTTGTGTGGGTCCCTCCTCCACGACATGACAGCACATGATAGACGAGCACGATGCAAAGCCACCGCATTCCAAAAGTTTGCTGTCGCAGGGAGCTTGCAAAGCTTTCTGAAATGCTGTCAGCTCTTCTGCACGAACACGACCTTTCTGGTTTCCACAAGAGGGAGCCACTTGGACAGCAGCTGGGGGATGCTGGTCCTCTTGAGCCATTGTCAGGCAATAGAGCAGCATATATAAAGTCAAACTCGGTTCAGGTAAGATGAAACTTGACTCCCCCCAAAAATTGTCTCCGGTGAGTCAGGTATACAATGATAGATATTCATTAAAAAACACATTGTTTATGGTCTGGCCCAAGTAACAACCCAGAGATAAATAATGACGCTGAACATTAAACATGGCAAAAAGCCATTCATCCCTGTGGAAGAAGAAAGAGGCTTGTTACTGACAATCTGGTCCTCCTTTTGTCTGGAGAGGCTGAGGCTGATTGCACACATGCAAATCAAAGCAGTACACTTGCACTTGTTGTGCGTCTGGTGTGCTGGACTCGCTCAAGTGTCGTATGAGTAGTTGGTGTCCTTTGTGTGGCTCCTCCATTAAAATCTGCAATAACGCTGCTCGCCCCCAATGTCCAATATTTACTTTGAATCTCATCAGCATCGCCCAAAAAACAAACAAACAAAAAAAAAGGGAAGCTGTGTGCGACAAGAGCAGGAGTTGATGGCCTCACAAAGGAATAAAAGACTCACTAAGAGTTATTTACTGCATGCGTCACCACACAAACCAAAAATCTTCCAGCAGTAAGTTGGTGAGTATGGCCAGGCAGTGGAGGTGGCTGAAGTCCTGCAGTCCCACTGGAGCACCTTGTGACCCACACAGGAAAGCCATCCCCAGGTGAGCTCACGTCCATCCCATCGCCTTCTTTAGAGTCTCATGACAGTAGCACACTTCCCTCAGACGGAAAACTCGGACCCAGGGCGGCGAGCTTGGGTCAAGCGCTTCAAGCGACGCAGATGCAGCCCCGTGAACGGGTTGCACCACAGCAGGGAAGGGGGACCGCCAAACACGGCTTTCATGCCGTCCCATCTGGTGCGACGCTCCCAGGTGGGCTTCTCGTTTTTAAGACGTTCAATCTCCTGCAAGACGCCCACACATGCTTTTTGAATGAAATGCTCATCAAACGATACGGATATGTGGATCATGGTGACACAAAGGATGGGCATAACAACTGTTAAACATTTAGTTGATTGCATGGAATTGATTGTTGAAGAAATGGAGTTCACTTTGACAAAAACCATCCTCGCCACAAATATACTGTTATTGTCCACTACGGGAAGTTGAGTACAATCCATTCTATGACAAATTGGAATTCAATTTAAGCCACCAATTTAACAAACCACATGAACAAGGAATGGCGCTGTTGGATTACAAAGGAATAAATACCCCTCTGTGTTGTGAATGCTTTTAGTTTCTTTTCATTGCATTCTAACGAAGGCATTTTCTGTTGCCCAATCACTAAACAGCAGCCACATAAGCAAAGCCTACTGCAGTTAAGAGAGAGTAGTACAGGGTACAGCTCCAAAATCAACGATCCAGCTTAGCTGGAAACAATGGGTTCACATTATAAAGGCATGCGCCCAAGTGCTCGCATGGTACGTGGTGGATACTGACCGTCTCGTCGTTGCAGATGGAGTGGATCTGCGTACCGAACATGACAGCAGTGAAAGTGAGGAAGAGGATGGCTTCGAGACAGAGGAAAATCAGTAGTAGCACAGAAACCCCGGGAGAGAATTCGCTGCACTCTGCGATGGATCAGACAAAAAAAAAAATGCTTTTAATGCTCCCTACAACAACAGTCAGATCCTCAAGCCTTTTTTTTCACCGTTTTCCTCTAAAGACAGTGGCACCATTTTGTGATCACTGTTGCGCAATGGCAACATAACACAAGATAACATAACATGTTTGCCTTCAGGTTATGACCCCCCCCCCACACCCCAGTTAAATGACAGAGAAATGGGGGGCACTTACCATTCCACTGCACTTTAATACACGTGAAAAAGTGCATACCACTGAGGCCAAGTGCATGAGCGGAAATCAACGCAATGTACATCTGAGGAGAAAGCCACCAGTTAATTAATTTATCCATTGGAAGTTTTTAAATACATATTTGCGCTTGCTAAGGAATCCATTGTCAGTGAATGGACTCCCTTTAGTTCATTAGTGCACTTACAGTGAAAAGGACAAAGAATCTCTGATTCTTTTCTCCTACACAGTTATTGACCCAGGGACAGTGATGATCCATCTTCCGGATGCATCTTTTACAAATACTGCAAGCCGGTGACAGAAGATAGTGATGAACGATGCAGTGGATGCTGATTTACAAGTTAAGTGTTCTAGTGGACAGACCTGCAGTGGTGCGCTCTTTCAGGCTTGATGCTGCAGCACTTTGGGCACTTGTAGATGACCTCACCAGGTTTTAGCTGCAAGCTCTCCATGTACTCCTTGGTCGCATTGCCTTTTGGAACTGCACCCTATAGAATCAACAGGCAGATCAATCACCAACCTGATGGGTACTCAGTGGAGCACAGACTTTCCCAATGCCCAAGTATTACCAAAAGAGTAAGAAAATTATTGTGGAGGACCATATTTTGTGGTTTCTGTTTCTGATTTACAAATCATGTGCACTTCCATATACTCACACATCGTCTACTTACCGGATCCGACAACATGGTGCGCAGGTGTGAAGCCAGAGCGAGCACGGCGAGGGCATTGAAGGTGGCGCCGTTAAGCAAAGAATACCAGAAGTTCTTGGCGGGTAGCAGCATGACAAAGTTGACAACAAATTCAGCATAGAGCACCAGGAACCAGGTCATGCCGGCGCACACCATGCCGCAGCTGTCCTGGATGAACCACAGCGTGCGGTTCCCGGCTGTGTGGTCAGTGTGGGTGCCGCCAACCATCACTCCGGCTGCCAGGCTGCCTGACTCGACGTCGCTACCCGCTGACAGCAATGGGTGGTGCTGCTCCATATCTCGCAGCCGGTGGTTTGAAGAGTGCATCCTGGACTCTGGAGGGCAACAAATTGCCTTGCATTAATATCATCTGCTAGAAATGCATGATTGTAGACTGCTCTAATGCATCCCCTCTAATTCCATGTAGTAGGGAATTTTGTGTCAAACCAACCAAAAGTGATAGTGGTCTCACGTAAGCAAAGGTTCTTTGACATTAACGGTGGCCTGATTTCCCGGGCCCACAACTGTATCGGGCCACCCAAAATACACTGACACTGGCCTGACTGGGCCAGTGCACATTACTTCATAAATAGGATTACATCAAAACGTTCTTGCCTTTATAATATTTATTTGTCAATATTTTGACTTTTATGTGATCAATGCAGAATTTATTCGGCTGCCATCATCAGGAGTTACATTCTCAATAAAGACTAGTGAGCCTGCTCCAGAAGCAGAACTGCAAGCGCAAGCCACGAGATTACCGCCAACAATGGTTCACAGACGGGCTTGTGTGTTTTGGACCAGATTGGATTTTGCAAAGGACAGAGATGAGCCACAAAAGTTTTTACGGACTAATGAGACTGAAGTGATGCAAAAGCCAGCGTATGGAGAAAGAAAGGATCATCTTATGATCTAAAACACATGCTCAACTGTGAAACATGGTGGAGGTAATGTCACATCTTGGGATTGCACGGCTGCGTCTAGAACAGGCTTACTAGCCTTTATTGATGATTTACCATGAAATAAAAGCTGGACTTCTGAACTTTTGTCTGATCCTTTTTTTTTTAATCTTAAACCAAAATGTCTTCAGTGTAATCCACAGATTTCAGCCTGTCAGCAGAAATTATTCTCTGATTTCTATAGTCATTCATGAAAGGAGGCCAGTTATCTTTTGTTATTTACAAACATCTGCCTTTACTTTGCAAAACGATGATGGAATCAGCACCGGAATCAATAAACCGCTAAAAATGAGTAAAACAAAACATGATATGACAAATCCTTGAATTAATGGACAATAAATGAGTGCCTCGCTCTACTTGTAATAAGCAATTTTTGACAGTTTACTGGGGTCAAAAATTTATCCATTAACAAGAAAATTATCCTCTAAGCATCTCAATTTCTCTGATCTTATACTTTCGTCAACAGCATTTAAACACTTCCATTGTCTTAAAAACACACGCTGTGCTTCACAGGTTGTTTTTGTTTGGCCACCTTCACTCAATGTACCGACCCTGTGATGAAGTTAAAATTCTTCCAAAATGCCCAGAGAGTCTTTGGGAAGGTTGTCATCCTCAGGTGCAATGATTGATGATGAACACACTTCAATATGCGTTATGGGGATTCATCACTCAAGAGTGGCCTCGGTTAGTCATCTTGCTAAAAATGTGGATCACAATTTTATGGCCGATTCTCCAAAGTACCCCCGCGTGCTTGTGGCTGTACAGGGGGACAGAAAACAACAAAGGTTTCCTCTTGTATGAATAAAGCATGTCCAGGTTGCAACAGAACATTCAGGTTCGACTCCACAAACCATGCTGGTAGTTTCAAGATCAATCAATGGACCTCTTTGTAAGTGATCCTGCAGCAGAAGTGCATGCGGCGCTAATGATCCTTGTTCCTTTCTGCTGTCTTACAGCATTCACTGAGATTCACTGAGACAAAGCCAACAAAGCCAACACAACATTGGCAGAGCGAATAACCCGAAGCCTTCTCTGACCAACTTAGCAGAATAAAATCAGCGGTCTATTCCCATTGTCTCAAAGGGTTTATTAGGTTACAGCTACAGACTGCTTTTAAGCCCTTCTTTGCTTTCACCTTGTATCAATATCAACAGAGCTTCTTTCCATAAAACACCCACTTTAATCTGAGACCCCTCCAACCACTGGCCATGACGCTTGGGGGGGGGGGTTTGGGGTTCAATGCAGCACAGTAGAAGCTCCAAATACAAACACCTTTACATTACACTGAGGTATGCATTAAGTCAGGTGCACAAATATTGGGACATTGTCACAATTCTCATCGTTTTGCTTTCCACACACCACAGCAGTGGATTTGAAATGAAGTAGACAAGGTTTTCCTAGAATGGCAGACTTTCAACTTTAATTTGAGGGCATTTCCATTCTAATCAGGTGAATGGTGTAGGAAGGGATGGAAAGTAATAGGACAAATGGCTACTCAGCTGTTCCACGGCCAGGTGTGTGTTACTCCCTCATGATCACATTTACAAGGAGTAGATAAAAAGTCTTGAGTTCTTTTCGAGGGTGCTAATTGCGTTGGGAATCTGTTGTTGTAAAGTCTCAATAAAAGTTCCAAAGAACTCTGAATATCACTGGAGCAGGCCATCATTACGATGTAAATAAATTAAAAATCAAAACAAACCTATCAGAGTGAGAGCAAAAACATTCAGTTTGGCAAAATCCATTCTTAGGGAAAAAAAAAAAAAAAAACGCAACAGTGAGCTCAGCACCAACAAAAGACCCGGAAGACAACGGAAAACAACTGAGGTGAATGACCAAGGTGAAGAAAAACCCCTTTACAACAGCTGGCCGGATCAAGAAATATCTTCAGGAGGTTTCAATACAACAATCAAGGACTGCAATTGTTTTTCCTTGTATTTTTATTCTGAAATATTTTGGGCAATATTATCTGCTCATATTCAACCAAATACTTCAGAACACGGCGCTTCACTGTGCTGATGGACCCAAAAACATACGGTAAAAGAAACCCAACATTTTTTTTTTTTTTAAAGGCAAAGAAGTGGAATATTGTACAATGGCCAAGTTAATGATCTGACGTGAATCCAATTGAGTGTATGGACAACTGTTGGCTCTGTTAAGACATGTTTAGCACTGGTAACCAAACTGTTTTTCTGCTTGATAGGACTGTCAACTGATGCAGCTATTTAACAGCTTTTGTGAACAAAGGATGTAGATATTATGCATCAAGTACATTGGCTTGTGCTTTTTGATAAGCACTGAAGTGAGGACCCAATGACACTTAACAAGATAATGCAAATCCATGTATTGTTGCAAGAAAAAGCATCTACAAACCCTTGGAATCACCCGGACCCACACACAAATTGGCCACAAAATGTGACAAGATTCTCATTCAAGCCACAACATGATAAAAAACAAAGTGTCCAAGATCAACACCAAACAAACAACTACATGCTGCCACTTGACATACCATGTGCAATTCCCTATGAACTGCTCGTAGTCAGCAAACATAGATTTCAATTAGTGAGATGACATTGGTGGTGTTGATTCAAATAGACCTGCCCTGTTGAAAAAATATATATAATAAATAAATGTTTATTTCACTTTTCTAGTTAGCCTCAGACCGGCTAGCTGCCATACTATTGTTCACCATTAGTGATTGATTTAATATTATTGTTGTGTGAGAGTTACTGTTTAAGAAAGTGTGAAGTGCATCAGCAAAACAACATTCATTACATGTCATCTTCCCAGTTAAGAGTGTTTAAAGGTTATGAAGTACTGATATTAGAATGGTATCTTAGAAATGACAGCTAATCTATCCATCCATCCATGTGTATGTGCTTAGCGGAAGTCTCGAAATGGCTGTTAGCAGTGAATTTGAGTGTTGAGGAAACGTGTCATCATCATTTCCACATTCAGGTTCCTCCTGCTTGGCACTGACTGCCGAACGCAAGGAATGCCACTCTTCAAGCTTTGACAGAGCAGATACGCTAACATGGTGGCTAGCAATGACAAAAATTAAGTGTTACCTACCTAGTATGTTGCCTCCTTATAATAACATGCCTTTATGTATGACTTCTGTATGTGATTCGGAATAGGTGTCCAGATGATCAGGAAGATGGAAAAGGAGACCCCTGAAAGATATAAACACAGAAAGGGTTCAATCTGTCTTTAGTAAATATCTTGTTGGGGCCACGGTGAGCTGGAGCCTATCCTAGTGGACTTTCGTGAGAGGCAGGATACACTTCTGGACTTGTCGCTAATCAATCGCAGGGCACTTTCAAACAAATTTTCACACCAAATTAAAAAAAAAAAAAAAAATTGGGCCAACATGCATGTTTTTGCAATGTGGGAGGAAGATAGAAGACCAGCAAAAAAACAAAAGATTACTCCATAAATCTTGACCACGCTGCCATGGTTAAAACATGGCAATTAACACACGAAAGGTAACGTTGGATGTACAGCATATTCGCATTGTTCAACGCTCACTTCTTGTCAGACGTTTATTTCCTTGCAGTCAAATAGCTCAAGTTCGACAAGGAAATTGGCTGACTCGTTTTCCACGCCTATGATGACTATTTGTAACTATTGTGGCACAGACCGTAATCCGTCTTTATGATTTGGACGCCCACAGAACAGAACATCACACCGTACCTTCCATATCACTCAAGCGAAGCAACGCTGAGATTGGAGCCCCTCCCCTCATCGAGAGCGACTAAATCACCATCTTCTCATTTCCCATATTTTCTGAGCAAGTGCCCATCTACGAAAACAAGTGTTGCGTTCCCCACGGTGCGACAGAGTTAGCCGAGTTTACCAACTTGTCTAAATGACAAGTGTTAAGGTCCAGAGTGTAAACAAACCTCCGCCGCGAAATGATAGTTGCTTGACATTCCATATGCTACCGGACAGGTGGCTACATTTCGCTAGCTAACTAGCGAGCTGCCTTGCTAGCCTCACTACTAACCGCAGCATGCGCGCGACGACTGCTCAGAGGGGACATTTTCCCATCGACGTACCTTAATATTGCTGACATCGTCGTTCGGGGACGTCTTCTAAATTCATTCTGAGCGCTTCACAATGGGTGGACTGCAGCTCGGGGATGACTACCGGAGCCGCGGAGGGGGTAGCAACACATCCCATCAACCATTGTCGGAGTTTCCGGGATTCGGTTCCTCTTCGCCAATAACTGAAAGGAGGACAATCTTTGACCCAACAGCGCTACCCGATGGGTTGTGATACAATTGCAAGTGATATACTGTATCTCCGATAGAGAGCGCTATTGGTTTGTGAAAGAGTTCAACACGTCCTATAATAAAGGAAATTAATTGTCAGTGGTTGGAGTAATTATTGCAAATTATTTTCCATTTTTTAATCTGCTTAACCTCACGAGGGTCGCGGGTGTGCTGGAGCGTATCCCAGCTGTCTTCGGGCAATAAGCGGGGGTACACCCTGAACTGGTTGACAGCCAATCGCAGGGCACATATAGACAAACATTCACAGTCACAGTCACACCTCAGGACAATTTAGAATGTTCAATATACCTGCCATGCATATTTTTGGAATGTGGGAGGAAAGTGGGGTACCCAGAGAAAACCCACGCAGGCATGAGGAGAAAATGCAAACACCACACAGGAAGGCCTGGGCCTGGAATCAAACCCTTCACCTCTGCATTGTGATGTCGACACACTAAACAGCATCACCGGGCCGCTTGTAGCAATGCAACTATTGAAAATATGTTTTGTCAAAAATTATGTTTCTTAGGTAGGGAAATGTTTTTTATTTTATTCCACTAAAAACGACAACCTTTACTCCTCACAATTTATCCTTGTAACATGACAGATTCTCTTCTTTAACATATATTAATAATTACTTTCTGAATGTTTTATCTTGATTGAGTAGAATTATCTTTCTCTCCTTCGTTCGAATTAGTTCCAATACAAAAAATGTTAGAAGAAAAAATGTTTCTGTTTTCATGGATAATAACGATCAGTTTCAATTAGTACTGTCTGAGAGGTATTCGTTTGAGAATATGTTTGTATTATTGTGACGTATGTAGTGTATAACTGCACTCCATCACACAGACAGTTCCCAAAATGACCAGATTGATGTTTAAAAGGAAGATATACTTGGTCAGGTCAAGTACATAATGGATCATTTGAGCTATTTTTGCTGATGTTTTCCTGGCATTACTACTAAATGTCAACACTTATAGCTCATATGAAACTTAGACTCTGAAACGTCACAAAATGAAGCGAGAGTGCATTAAAGTGTCACTGTGCCACCCTTCAGAACACACCCTTCACACCCTGTTCTGACTACTGATCCAGTCAGTGATGCAACCACCTGAAGCAGACCTTTTGCAAATTCCATGCATGGTCTTGGGGACAGATGCCCTGCAGCAGCACCACCTGCCAGGAAGCGGCAGGACCTTCCTAGAAGGAGCCTCCGCCGTCACGTGTTTCCCGGGAGTGGATTACTATGAGGCCCAACGAGACAAAGCGGATTGCCCCACCTGCGACCCCTCCCAGGCCCGTCTGCCGCTGCGCAGTGGCGACCTGCAACTTCATTCCGGCCCTGCTCCAGAGCCAATATCAGCTGTCTAGTTTTAGAGAGAGGCACAGAGAAATACCACAGCAATCCTCTCAAGCAGATTAAAGGCTGAATCAAGGGACTGAAGCCCTTTCCATTATCCGGACTGACACACACACACACACACACACACACACACACACACACACACCCACACACACACACACACACACACACAGTCTCGCTGCTAAATGAACATCTGACTGGCAAGTCAAAGCAGAAGCGACAGGCTACTATAGATGAACTTTCCAGCTTCCCTGAGCCATCTCATACCCGCACTTGATTTACTCTTCAAACACCCATTTAAAAGAAGACACAACATTCAAATCAAAATTTGTATTGATTTAGATTGTTCACTTAAATGTCTAACACACACTAAAAAGAAAAGTATAAAAAAATGGACATTTCAAAAATATGAACATACACAGTCAATTATGAAAGAAAAAATATGACGGTCCAAATAAAAATCATACATTACAGTGCAATGATTACATCCACATAGTCTTAATGTTCCAAAACTAAAGTTGTAATCTCATTTTGTTTTATATAATGAGAACAAGAACTCTTAATGTCACAACTTTATTCTTGTCTATCAGCATTACATTCTAAACAGTGTATTTTCCTCGTGTAGTGTTGTAATAGCTTCATTTACAACTTTCATGTATTCTTGTAATTCAACATGTTTCCACATAAAATTTTGTCTTTGAAAATGTTATATTCACAGTTAGGTTTGGTTCCTGTCAACCACTAACTGGCCGCCCCTGTTCGTGAATTATCAAGTTCTGTGAGTAATTGACAGTCCCAATAATGATTATAATTGGCCATACAGTATTGAGAGTGTAACCCAGGCATAAATATAGTACATCCAAAAATAAAATGGCATTTCAAAGTCTTTCAAATATCTTCAAAGATTGCGTTACCCGTAAAAATACAGTACAGCCAAGAGCGTTTTTACAAAAATAATACAATTCAGTTATGCCCGACACTGTCAAAGAGATATTAATGTAATATAACGATGTTTGTCATGGTTATGGTTGTACTTTGCAGTGGTGTACGACTGCACCACATTACACTGAGAGCTGTTCGAACATAAACATTGTTAACTTTGCTAAAGCAGAGGCAGCGCTTTTATTGGATCTCATGGGATTGTGCCATTGGTCAGAATTACTCTGTGGCTTGTGTAGCTATAAACTTGCATGAGAGTCAGCAGAAAGCAGCACATTTTGATTCCACATTTCGATGCAATCAGAGGCCTTGCATGTGATTAAATAATGAATGCTAAGTGCTCTTGTAACAAATGAAATCGGTCTCACGGGGCTCTGTGCTAGGGCATTCCTATTTCGGTGCACCCTTTTGTTGACATTCTGGCTTTTGGAGTGTAATGAAGTGAACGCAAAAGTGGGAGCAGGGAGCGGAGTGGCGGGATGTGCTCCCATGGTCGGCGTGTAATGTTGCTGCAAAAATGAAAAAAAAGACTAGCGTTACATCATCAGAGAGGGTGACCAGCAAAAACACATTTAGAGAAGGAGAGAATGTCGGCATTGAAGATCAAAGCAAAAAAAAAAAAAAAATGTTTGTGGTGTGTATTAAAACCAATCACATAGTCTTGCTTTAGATAAATCTCGTAGATAAGTTTAGCTTAATGTTGACAAACAGCGGAAAATGCCATAGACGCGGGGCAACAGATGAAGACAGATAATATAACAATGCGCAGGCAAGTATTCCTTATCCTCTGTGAAGAACGACCTTATGTCTGTATTATACTGCCCCCAGGTGGCCGAGGCGTATGCACACACACACACACACACACACACACACACACACACACACACACACACACACACACACACACACATGCTAAACACGCTAAACACTCTAAATTTCGATTGCGTAATTACTGTGTGTTTTCATGAAGTGCAATATTATAAAGTGCGATTGTTCTTATTGAAAAATGGATTACAATTTGTTTTCTTTTGGAGGGGGCTGGAACAGATGTATGGCATGCCCACCCGAGTAACAGAAATCCTGAGTAAACCAAGGACTCACCCATATTGATTAAAATACAATTCCTCTATTGGTGCAATTACTATTGCGAAACTATTGTGACAGTTTCCTCTTCTGTTCTGCGTGGCAAAACCATTTACACAACTGAGCTGCATGCGCAGTGTAGTGTTTGGGGAAAAATGTACAATTCATGGTTATCAATTGACTGACATGTTTATACAGCAGAGTGCACCATGCCGGGCCTCACTGCAATTATGATAGGCGTGCAACTTGAGGGGGATGTCTGTTGAAAAATAAACGAGAGAAAGCAGGGTTGTCTTCATTCATTTTTAAACAGTCGGTGTGCCTAGAACAGCAGCAGCCTTCAGATTTTGGACCAGGCATTATGTCAGCTGCGGTAAAACAGAAACACATGTTGGGATGAGAGGAGGAATGGACGGTCTTTGGAGTTAAAACTGTCTGTCTGTCCATATGCCCGTCCGTCCATCCATTAAAAGGCTCTGGCATGCCCAACAATTTGGTGACAGAAAGTACACTCGACCTAGGACCAGCTAAAAGCACGTCTAAGTTGTGGTGTGGGTGGTGTAACGCGCTTTTGGTGAATTTGATTGAGGCGCTGTCAGAAAAATTCTGCGCTCAGCTGATATGTGTGGCGATCTTCTGTATGGACTCCAGCAAGTCAATTTCTGCTTCTGCAATGTCAAAGTGTGCTGTGTGCACCTTAACCGCACTGATTTTCAAGGAAACGTGGGGGGCCTCTTTCAGTGGCGAGAAAACAAGCTACCTGTGTTCCCTCCTAAAATGATGCATACACCCCGCTGTACCTGCGCCCATCTACGAAAATACCAAAGGAAAGAAAACTCGATCCATGCACACAGTTAGACTGCACTTTGCGCTAGAATTAAGATGGTCACCAAAATAGGGCCCTAAAAGTGCACTTGCTGTAAATAACCAAGAAATTCCAGACAAGCATGGCTGTGAATATTCCATATCATGCATTTATTAATATTTCCTTCCTGGAGCAAAGGAAGTGTTGTCCACAGTAGCAGGAAGGATGACATAGCCCTACATCACAATGCAGTGACCTCTGACTTATCACCAGCTTATCTTTGCTGCGTCCACCTTTGCCAAGCCACCACAAATCCAAGCTCGAAGCCTTTTAGAGGGGGATTTTCAGCCACACTCAATCTCCTTGCTCTGCTAAAAGTACGAGAGGCAAACAGGGCAACGGCCAAAGACCTTTTAGCCATGATCTCTCACTGCATGTTTGGACGCAAAAAAAAAACTCAAGCACATTAAAATTGAAAGAATACAGCCTGAAAGTTCAGTACAGCTGCGCTCTAATTAAGTGTAGTGCAGCCACATGATTGAAGCCGCTGTGCTTTGACAGCGTACTGGACTTAATACACTTTTTTTTTCACTGATTTGTTCTATGTTTTAGTAGTCATGACTACATCAGGTGTGAGGGGCTCCATTTAAAAAAAAAACAAATCCTCACAATATAATGATAATAATAAAGAGTTTGATTACAACACTGCAATAGATGGCCCGATGAGCAAATGTCAAGCATAATTGATTTATGACAATGCATTG